TGACAGGTCAAAGTCTAAAAGGACAATCTTTTTATGACGAGATATTAGCAAAATGTTAAAATAGTTTAGATAGGCCTAAAATAGAAGTAGGCTATGGCATGTCAGCAAATCAATTTCATAATGTTTTGTGCTATATGCCTTTGGTTTGTGTCTCTCTAAATCATTCCAACCCACTTCATAAAAAATTACACAAATCTGCCTAACAAAAATAATCAAAAGAAAAGATGGTTAAAAAAAAGCCAAATTAAGTCAACGTCCTCATGTATCAATAAAAACATGTACACTATTTATAATAATATTTATATTTCACACACACACACACACACACACACACACACACACACACACACACACACACACACACACACACACACACACATATATATATATATATATATATATAATATAAATACAAGCTTTATGTAGTTTACTTTAGGTCAAGGGGTGTGAGTGTGACATGCATTTCTAAAACAATGTTTTTATGACAAGGTCATTCAACTATGCATAGAAGAAATAGCAAAATGTTCTTTAAAATAGTTTTAGATAAAAAAAGAAGTATAGCTTGTCATGTTTGCAGGACATTTGACATGTCAACTACCCAGCTGCATATAAAACCGTTAAAAAAATATAATAATTTAAAAATGTCAAAATATATGTTGTATTTGCAAGTTATAAAAATAACTAACAAATATAATACGATATAATATATAATAATATACAAATAAAATAATCAAATCCCAATCCAAAAGGCCCCAATAGAGCTATAATTTCCCGATCTCGCCGCAAGGTGGCGCTGGAGCCCGCAGAATGCACAGCATTCAAATCCAGTTATAATGGTTTGAAGGTACTGTACTGTTATGTAAAATAATACTATTAGTCGTGTAAACTATTATTCATTCATTCTCAGGGTTAGTGATAGGAACAAACGAAGCCTACCACGGTTATCGACACTTGGTAACTCGACCAGCACATGATTGATTCCGATTCCCACAGAATGAATGAATGATCAAATCACGTGTTGTTGATGAGAGCGGTGTGCTATTACCATTACACAAAGTTATCAGACGTACTATTTTCAACTAGTTGTGTAGAAAAAACACACAGACTTACATTGAAGATACTCGAGGCATATCTATAACGTTAGACCGAAATATCATAGAGACTTGAGGATGATATTTGGCAACGTCCTGGAAACAACCAGCAACTTCATGTTAACGAGTAAGTTACGTGTATTACGAGTAGGCCTACGTGGTGTATGTATGTACTCACTAACTACGTGTATTTTCTCCTTGATATACAGTCTATGATTTTCTCGTTAAAAAATCTCGTTTGACAGACATCCCTAAAATGAAGTAATTTCGACGCACTGCTTGAAGCTTTTGCGAATCATGTGTTTCTTCGAACCAGTGATTCTGATCTGGTATCAAACCGCCAAAGTCACGTGTAAAGTTCAGTAAACGAAACTTTGTTACGTCATAACTGTTTCGAAGGGTTCGCCGCGATTTGTAGACATTTTAAAGGGTTAGTTCACCCAAAAATGAAAATTATGTCATTAATGACTCACCCTCATGTCGGTCCAAGCCCGTAAGACCTCCGTTCATCTTCAGAACACAGTTTAAGATATTTTAGATTTAGTCCGAGAGCTTTCTGTCCCTCCATTGAAAATGTATGTACGGTATACTGTCCTTGTCCAGAAAGGAAATAAAGACATCATCAAGTAGTCCATGTGACACCAGTGGGTTAGTTAGAATGTTTTAAAGCATTGAAAATACATTTTGGTCCAAAAATAACAAAAACTACGACTTTATTTAGCATTGTATTGTCTTCCGGTTCTGTTGTGGATCCGCGTTCAGTGCCGCTGCTGACGTAAGACGCTGCTGACGTGTGTCTGGTGCGTCCGTGTATTCGGGTTCAAATAAATATGGCTGGGCAAAAAAATGCAAGTCTTCCTCTGTGTGGAAATCCTTAGACATGTTTGCAAAGATTGTTTTGTTTCCAGCGTGCGTCTCCCTCAGACTGTAAACGAAGCTCGGACGCACCAGACACACGTCAGCAGCGTCTTACGTCACACACACACACACACACACCAGACACACGTCAGCAGCGTCTTACGTCAGCGGCAGCACTGAACGCAGATCAACAACAGAACCGGAAGACAATACAATGCTGAATAAAGTCGTAGTTTTTGTTATTTTTGGACCAAAATATATTTTCAATGCTTCAAAAAATTCTAACTAACCCACTGGTGTCACATGGACTACTTTGATGATGTCTTTATTTCCTTTCTGGACAAGGACAGTATACCGTACATACATTTTCAATGGAGGGACAGAAAGCTCTCGGACTAAATCTAAAATATCTTAAACTGTGTTCCGAAGATGAACGGAGGTCTTACGCGCTTGGAACGACATGAGGGAGAGTCATTAATGACATAATTTTCATTTTTGCGTGAACTAACCCTTTAATGGCACATTTGTACAATAAAAAGTAAATGTTGTAGTTAATAGTCTCTTCTTGAACAATTTAACCAATAAAAGAAACACAACAAGAATAAATAGTAAAATAGGCTTACACTACTGACACTGCATAATGGATGATGATTTGTTAATTGTATTTAATAGATAACACTTTCAATAAAAACGTTTCTAAATGGTTTGTAAAAGGTGTTTTTATACACGTTGAGGCTGAGGCCCCGTTTACACGATGGGAAAACGCAGATATTTCTCTGCGTTTTGCCCTCTCATTTACACGAAAACGCCGTTTTTACCACAGAAAACGATTATTTCTAAAAACTCCAGGCAAAGTGGAGATTTCTGAAAACGCCGGTTATGTGTTACCGTGTAAACTGGGAGAAACAGGGTTTTAGGTTCTCTCTTGTCGATTCTGAGGATTTTGATTGGCTTGCATGGCTTTATCCTTCTCCCTACACTGCCGCCCATAGGTTTGGCATAGTTATGATGGCGCTCGACGGCGTATTTATGCGGGTGTGTGCACGATGTTATTTTTGAAAACGGAGAGGGGGAAAATATTCGTTTCTCTAAATACCCGGCTATGTGTAATCGTAGCCTGAGTTTTCGTTCTGGCCAGCCATCGTGTGACGTCTCGAGCGCTTCGAAGCAAGTGATTCAGAGATTCGAAAAGCGTTGTTTCTCCCCCATCACTCACTACTCGCAGTTGACGTGTCTTCGGTGGGCGTGGCCAATAGGAGAGGGGTGTGGCTAAAGTCGGGGCGAACTTTTGGCGCATGTTGATCAAGTATTCTGTTGGTGACAGTAGTAGCACCACTGTCCATTCTAATGAATAAATTGCCTTAGTAATGAGCAATTCTACTTAATTTATATAAAGAATGAAAGGCAGATGTCAAATGCAGTAGATGTATTTTATTAATATATAAAAACAAATGCATATGTATAAACCATGATAAATATGCATATGCGGTATAATCATACAGTAAAATGTTTATATTCATATAGTTTTTATTTTTAAACACAAAGGATATTTTAGCATTCAAACTGGCAGTGGTGATATTTCCTCTGGTAAGAGGGAGACGTTCAGTCCATGGCAGCTCTCCCAAAGGAGAAATAGCCTTTTTCTTTTTTCTTTTAAAAGCTACAGAGCAGCACCATTCACCTGAGATCCATGTTTGGGAGAAAATACTTGAAGAGAAACACAAAACCACATCCGAGTGACGGACAAAAATATGTGGCCAAGCAAATCATGATGGCTAAATTGTACAATCATTTTGTATATATGGAGTCATTCCTTCTATGCAGTAGGCTACATTTCATGTCCCCATCATATATGTCATAATATACTGGATAAAATCTTAAATATGGGAATCATATTAGTTTCTTTTAGTAGAATTAAGTGAACACAGGGGGGAATATCTAGAGACCCAAGGAAAATGAATATCCATTCAAATCAAATTAAATGATTTAATTTGGTTTGAATAAATATTCATTTTCCTTATGTCTCAAATTGAAATGTTTTCTTGGGTATATATTATATATGGGGGAAAATGATATATATATTTTTATACTGATAATAGATGTATAGGTCCACAATATTATTTTGCATCCTGTTGGTCTTATGTAAAAATCCTTTTAACAAAACTCTGTTTTGTAATATTTTTGTGCTACTAGTTGGTTTCTGTCCCTCTAAATCATTCCATCCCACTTGATGAAATTACACAAATCCGTATAACAAACATAATCAAAACATGAAGAGAAATTAAGTTGACGTTCTCATGTAAACGGTCAGCAATGACTAACTTTAGCTCTATTTTCATATTCTTTCTAATGTGTAAATGATCAACTTAATAAGTGCCTGAGTTTGACCAGAGCAGATTTCTGAATATCTTTTATATGCAGTGTTGGGTGTGTAACGAATGACAAATAACACGAGTTGGTCACTTTTTTCAAGTAACTAGTACAAAATTTACAACAAAATATCCAAGTTACTTTTTCAATAAGTAATGCAAGTTACTTTGTTTTCAGTATTCCTCAAAATGAATAAAAACAGTGAAATGATGAAGTAACAGTGTTGTACTTTCTTCTCCTGCGTCCTATTCTTCTGCACAGCTGAGTTTGTTTGAGCGGCGCCCTCTACTGTACAGGCATGCATTTGCCTTTCCTTCAGCCTGATGCTTATTCATTTCACTTTTGGTGTGAATATAAATACAGCTTTTTTGTAATTAAAAATCAAACAAGCAAGCCCACCCCAGGAGAGAAAAATTAATGCAGAAGTAACGTAACATTATTTCCCACAAAAAATAACACAATTAGTTACTTTTTTTTAGGGAATAACACAATATTGTAATGCATTACCTTTTAAAAGTGACTTTCCCCAACACTGAATATACGCTTTTATATAAAAACAACTTTCTGAACATCCGTACTGCAGAACAGGAATGACCCTTGAATGAGGCCTGGGATTCTGCTTGGTTTGCCTGAAAGCTCTGTTACGTGATCAATGATTCCAACGAACATAAATCCACAGCAGAGTTTCCGCTCCATGAAATGACTGAAGAATCGTCCCGGGCTGAGCGTCCCGTCGCAGGGTGGAGTCATGTCTGATGGTAGTGGTGGTAGTGGTGATGATGATGATGTTCGTGATGATGGTGGTGTTCATGTCGCTGGACCACCGGACGCATTAAGCCGGCGTTCTGCTCGCGGTCCGGCGCAGGTGAGGGTTGTTTTGAAGGAGACAGGGCTTGTTCTCTGGCTTTGGCTCTCACTCTCTTGCTGTGACTGTGCTGGAGAGGGTGTTGGTGACCCGACGGGGCTTGAGGCTGGTTCTGCTGGGGTAGATGGTACACATCCTGAGCCCCTGTGACATGCATGGAGGGATAGTAGCCGTGGCACTTGCTGATTTTGGCCGCACCTGCTCCTTTGGACGTCCCCTTGGGGGATCTGATGAACTGGGGCCCGTTGCGCACGCGGGGATCCAGCGCCACACAGTGGTCGGACATGACCTGCGACCGGCGCTGATGGGCCTGTGTCTCGGGCTCGTGGGACCGGGAACGACTCGGGTTGTGTGGAGGCCGTGAGGGCGGCTCTTGTTGGGCCGCAGGAGGAGAGGTACCTTTGCAGAAAGAGAACATTTATAATATATAAAATAATATTTTATAAAAGGATCAGCACAATGAAACATAATTAAGGAATCATATTTTTTTTAATAAAGTATCAGAACAAAATTAAGATTTTTATATTTTGTAAAGTATCAGTACAATAACACAATTAAAGAATAATATGTGTTATAAAAGATCAGAAGAAAATTAAGAAATTATATTTTATAAGGGGTCAGCACAATGAACAATTAATTTCATATAATCTTCTTCATAAAGGATCAGAAGAAAATTAAGATATTTATATGTTTAAAGGATCAGCACAATGAACATATTTAAGGAATAATATATTGGATAAAGAAAATGAAGCCTGATTTTAAGGGAAATTAATAAAAAATAATCAGCATAAATTAAAGGCAGCAGGACAAATACTACCATGATGAGGACTTATAATAATATCTTATTATTTCTTTTGCATTGCAGTCATGAGATGTTTATGAGGGGGTGAGCATAATGTATGAAAATAATGTCAAATAAAAATAAATCTAATAAATTAATGTCTTAAGGGTCCTAAAATGCACATATTTATTAATGAAAAAATGTAATTTTCTTTTAATTTTGTGGTTAAATACAACATTTCCTGGTGGGTTTTCTGAGACACCCTTCAGTGATTGTAAAATATTGGAGTTAGGAAATTTTGAAGTGAAATGTGGCTATGAGATTCTCCCTATAATCTCTAAACAGGTTTTTCTGTGAAGAGTGTAATGCACAACTCACTCGTGTCAAGTGTTAAGGATTGTTTTTCTGTGCTATCATGCACATGTTCAGGAAAATCTTACTGTCAAATCTGGAGGTGTAGTTCTCTATTCCAGCCAGATCCAGGTAATGATTTCTTCTTTCTGTGTTCTCATCTACGCAATAGTGATTCCTCTCGTGAGCTTCAGCAGGCTGACCTCTGTCACATCACCGGAAAAAACATCCATCATGCTTTAATACAGCACATGCGGACACACACTCACCTAAAGGATTATTAGGCACACCTGTTCAATTTCTCATTAATGCAATTATCTAATCAACCAATCACATGGCAGTTGCTTCAATGCATTTAGGGGTGTGGTCCTGGTCAAGACAATCTCCTGAACTCCAAACTGAATGTCTGAATGGGAAAGAAAGGTGATTTAAGCAATTTTGAGCGTGGCATGGTTGTTGGTGCCAGACGGGCCAGTCTGAGTATTTCACAATCTGCTCAGTTACTGGGATTTTCACGCACAACCATTTCTAGGGTTTACAAAGAATGGTGTGAAAAGGGAAAAACATCCAGTATGCGGCAGTCCTGTGGGCGAAAATGCCTTGTTGATGCTAGAGGTCAGAGGAGAATGGGCCGACTGATTCAAGCTGATAGAAGAGCAACTTTGACTGAAATAACCACTCGTTACAACCGAGGTATGCAGCAAAGCATTTGTGAAGCCACAACACGCACAACCTTGAGGCGGATGGGCTACAACAGCAGAAGACCCCACCGGGTACCACTCATCTCCACTATAAATAGGAAAAAGAGGCTACAATTTGCAAGAGCTCACCAAAATTGGACAGTTGAAGACTGGAAAAATGTTGCCTGGTCTGATGAGTCTCGATTTCTGTTGAGACATTCAGATGTTAGAGTCAGAATTTGGCGTAAACAGAATGAGAACATGGATCCATCATGCCTTGTTACCACTGTGCAGGCTGGTGGTGGTGGTGTAATGGTGTGGGGGATGTTTTCCTGGCACACTTTAGGCCCCTTAGTGCCAATTGGGCATCGTTTAAATGCCACGGCCTACCTGAGCATTGTTTCTGACCATGTCCATCCCTTTATGGCCACCATGTACCCATCCTCTGATGGCTACTTCCAGCAGGATAATGCACCATGTCACAAAGCTCGAATCATTTCAAATTGGTTTCTTGAACATGACAATGAGTTCACTGTACTAAAATGGCCCCCACAGTCACCAGATCTCAACCCAATAGAGCATCTTTGGGATGTGGTGGAACGGGAGCTTCGTGCCCTGGATGTGCATCCCACAAATCTCCATCAACTGCAAGATGCTATCCTATCAATATGGGCCAACATTTCTAAAGAATGCTTTCAGCACCTTGTTGAATCAATGCCACGTAGAATTAAGGCAGTTCTGAAGGCGAAAGGGGGTCAAACACAGTATTAGTATGGTGTTCCTAATAATCCTTTAGGTGAGTGTATATATGGCAGAACATCTACAGTATGGTGAAGTTCCAGCATAGTCTAATCATGCATGTTAGATAACATGATACACTGCATGTGATGCAACACAATACTAGATCTCTCACATTATAATCAACAACTGCACCCAAAGAACCCACCCACTCTTTTGCTGTTTCCCAGAATGAACATTAGCTGCACACCTGATGTGTGTGTGTTGCCGTCTCTCCTCAGTGTTAGCCGATTCGATGCGACTCAAACGACTTGCATCTTTCTCTGAAGAGGGAACCAAGGAAACCAAGTTAGGCACAAACAAAGTGAAGTTAAGTTGTTTATGGTTGCTTTGAATGTGTCCTATTCGATCCTAAATTAGAGTGTGAACTATTTTGTTATATAACAGTGTGACTGAAGTGTTGACTGATTCATTCATTTGTTATTAATCATCTGATCTTTTGAGTTGTGTCCATATAGACAGAAACCAAATGTATTTATTTGTGCACGTAATAAAACCTGTGATAATAAAACGAAGTAAACAATGAAATTAGTAAATAAATAAGTAAATAAATAACATTGCGATTAATATCACGATATTACTCTCCGCGATAATATCGTGTATTGCGACTATGGACCCATAAATTATATAGTGTGGAAATTTTTTTATTTTATTTTTTTTTTGTATTTCCAGCTGAAATAACATTTACATTTATGCATATGGCAGATGCTTTTATCCAAAGCGAGTTGCTTTGAATTTAAGGTATGCATTTGATCAGTTCATGCATTCCTAGGGAATTAAACCCCATGATATGTGGTTATATTTGTACAGTATGTGTGTTTTGCCGAGTCGCACCGGTCCCGGCGTGTGTCCCGTCCCTCCTGCGAGCTCCAGGTTCTGGAGAGACCGTCAGCTTGACTCGGAGGGTCTTTTGTTTGCTTTTACACGAGTGATTGACGGAGGCATCCACTACGTCATAGATAGTGTGCATCAGACTGGACATGTCCTAACACACAACACACCACACATCATGAATGCATTCTCATTCTCATGCATTTTAATGAATGCTGAACGTGTATTAGCAAGTTTGTTTATGGCAGGCTGGTTCATAATCATTGATCTGCACATATTAACAGGTTTCAGCATTAATACTGCATGAACAAGCATGCAACACACTAGTGCACGACACGTGCAACACTGCTGCTTCACTTAATGCTGATAAAGCGAAATACATAAAACGCAGATATTTTACCTCCTTCGTGACTTTTCCGCAGTTGTCAAAATCGTAGAGGGTAAAGACCCACTCTTGCCTGTTGTCATCAACCAGCGACACGTTACACTCCAGATCCTGAGAGTTCAGAACACACAAACATGCAGTTACACACATGACCAGCAGGAGGCTGTCAACAACTGTCACATATTAGAAATAAAAAATTATTCACTCAAAACTGAAAACTGTCATCATTTACTCATGTCATTTGATTTCTTTACTTAATTTGACAATGCAGAATAACATTACTGCACAGAGTTGGCAGCTAAAAACCGAATAAATATAAATATAAGATTACAATAGGTAAAATACAAACTAAATGAAAAGTTGAAGCTGAAGGATTAAAATTAGTAACAGTCATTTAAAAATAAAGAAAATAAAACTGAACTAAAGAAAAATGAAACCTAAAAAGTCATTTAAAAATGACAAAGCACATACAATTACTAAAAATTTAACTAAAATTAAAAAGGAAACTGAAAATATAAAATGAAAGCTAATTCTAAATATTGATAAAAACTATAATAGTATATAAATAATACTAAAATAACTGCAACCAACAAACAATCTTAAAATAAATACAGATGCCGCATCCGCTTTCTTTTTACTATATGTAAAACAGAAGCTTCATAATTTATTTTTGCACAGAATAAACAAAGTTGTACAGATATGGAACAACATGACGGGAAGCAAATGATGAAAGAATGCTTATTTATGGTTATAATATTCTTTTGATGAAGAAAAAAAAAAGTAATCTACAGGTATTATGTTTGACGTCAGCTCTTTAAAATGCAACTGGAGCTGTTCAGAGAGGATGTACAGTATAAGGGAGTTTTCCCCACGGTTCTCAGTTACAGCTTTGGGCAGCAGCTGTTATTCATGGGTATCTGGTAAGAAGGATGATGATTGGACGAGCACACGTCTGGAGATGCTGCGGGCGTCTGAGCAAGCGAACTCTTACAACATCAGAATGGATGGTGAGGTAAAGCAAGAAGACTTTCCTCCGAGCTCATGCGGTGTATGCCATGAATTCAGGCCTTTGGCAATGCACTCGGATATCACTGGTGTGTCTGCACTACTGGAGCGTGTGGCAAACAGGACGAGGCCGAGAGCCGCGAGAGAACGACACGAGGCCGCTGGAGTGACTGATAATGATAGTGACGGACACTGATAGGTCTTGTATCTCACAGGAGGAGCTTCGGAAGCATAAAAGGAGGATCGACGACAGTGAAGGAAGGAATCAGTAAATGATGTCACTGCATTCAGCTTCTGTTTCTTGCTTGGCATGAACCAAAGTCCTTTTAGGCAAGTCATGCCACTCGGCCGCCATCTTGGCAACGCCTCCGGGCAGCTATTTCGGACTAACAAGACCAGGCTCCTATCTAAATGAATGGGCAGAGAGTCAGAACTGCACTTTCACTGGTCACCGGGACATAAAAACTGCATGTAGAAACAGCAGTAAAATATGATAAAAATCGCTGAAAAAGTTTGATGACTTCCCCCAAAAATAAGGTTTAAAACGCCTTTTTCCCCACAGGTTATACGTTTACTACGCATGCGCAAGGGTTCTCTCCCTCGGTCGTGCGCGCGCTCTAGTTTCCGGGAGATTTGAACTAATTTGCGGGCATCAGGGAGCCGCTATCAATCTGAGGGAGACTTCTGATGTCTGATATTATATTACACAACTCACACATACACTGCATATCAAATCTGCTGCCTTTTCAAACAGTAACGTATTTTGCGCTGTCTCAAACCTCAACTGTGCGCATGCGTCAGTGGAACCAGACGATAGGCTTAAATGTTTCCCGGCTTGACTGTTAAAAGCAGACGATTGGCTTTCCAGCGGGAGGGGCGGGACATGTGCAGACAACCGCCATCTTTGGCGTTACGGGTTTTCCCTATATAGTTGTATTAAGGATTGATGAAGTGGCATGTCTCTATATAAATAGTCTCTGCATGAACTTACATTCAGACTGATGCGCTTCTTCCCTTTGCAGGTTTCCTTCAGGTCTCTCTCTCCATCTTCAGACGGCAGATACTGAAGAAAACGCTCACATCCTTCAGCCTTTTCTGGAGGCAAAATCACTAAACACACACACACACACAAATACAGTGAGTAAACTACACTGAGTTCCAGTACAAATATCTAAACATTCTTATATCAAGTTACATTTACTTGAGAAGAAAAATGACTTCAAGGAATAGTTAACCCCAAAAATTGACAGCTACGCTACTACCACTTTGACGCTTCAAAAGGTTCATAATGAGATTGTAAAACTAATTTATATGAATTGAGTGGATTAGTCCCAAATTTCAGAAGAGACTCGATCTCTTTATGAACTCTCTGAAGCGTCAGTGGTAGTTGCGTAGCTGTCAATGGAGGGACAGAAAGCTCTCAGATCTCATCAAAAAGATCTTCATTTGTGTTCTGAAGATGAACGAAAGTCTCATGGGTTTGGAACGACATGAGGGCGAGTAATTAATGACAGAATTTTCATAATTTTGAAATTGACCTGATAAATCAAAATGAAGTTAATGTTAAATAAAAAATAAATACAAGAACAAATATCTGTCAATGGGGTCAGAAAAGTCAACTTGTTTTCCTTTTGAATTAAGCTGAATTTCTGACCCCACTGGCAGATATTTGTTCTTGTTGTAAAATCAACATGAAATCAAAACATATTTTTTTATGAAATATTGCAATATTTATTATAAATGATTTATTTGTGCACGTCATTATTTTTTTTTAAATCCTCTCTCTCTCTCTCTTGCAGTAACATCTGTCAACCTGTCACTCACATGAGATCCACCAACAGCAAACCACAACCATCCAATCAATTCCCTACGGACAAAATCAAGTCCCGCCCTACATTTTATCTTGTTCAAGAAGCCGTTTCACTCTAGCCTGGATGCCAGCCCGAACCCCGCCCATAACATTTTTTGGTCGGGAAGTTCGGTCTGGACTCAATCCATTGAGGAGTAATTATGATCAGCCAAAAAATGTTCGGTCCAATCAAATTGCCAGGGCGGGCTTTATACGATGATGAACAGATGGTCTGCAGGGACGTAATCATCCCGTTATCAAAGAGGGCGATGACTGCAGCTGGAGAATTGAGATGTATAGATTCCGCGGTCGCGCCTGTTGTAAAATAAATCGACAGCGCATTCATTTTAATAGACGAACAGAAAACTGCAATCAAGGCATTTATCGATCGGAAAGATATTTTTGCCGTCCTTCCTACAGGATTCGGCAAAAGTGTAACTTATCAGCTGGCTCCGATGGTCGCTAAGAAGATGGGACGCAATGAAAACCCTGTGGTCGCTGTGGTTTCTCCTTTGGTCGCACTTGTGGAGGACCAAGTAAAAGAAGCAACATTCGTTATTTTACTTCTTCCAGCGTGCGTGCATTTGAGTTCTGTAGTTGACAACTGTGCTATGCAAAGTAGTTGACTTACTGCGTTGCTCTGATTGGTTGTAGGTCTATCCAATTGAGTGCAGAGTTTTTTTTTTTCCTGGTTCGGTTAAGACACGCCTCATAATCAAAGCCCTATGGAGCAGTATCAGACTCACATTCTGACTAGAATATGAGTATGACGAAGTCAGGCTAGTTTCACTCAGATATATGACACACTGACACACAATCTATTTTTTTTACAGTCATCACAAAGATGATTGCAACTTCAGTTTCATACCACTTAAAGCATAAACTCTAATCTCTCAGAAAACAAGACACCTCATCTAGTCGTTTTACATCTCCATTCTCATTATAAGAATGAGATATTTGTACTGGAAAAGAAGACAAATATTCAAATACTGAGTTAGATCAGCACAGCTGTGTGTGAATACACACCCTGTAGAGGGCAGTGGTGTCCGTCCTTCAGCTCACAGTTCTGCAGCTCCTGGAGGAGAAACACAGATCAAGAGAGGTGTTAGTTCAATATCCAACCCAGAAACCACAGAAAATAACAAACGCCTCCATCTGAAGCATTTCCTCCTCAGGGACGGAAAAACCATGATAGTGTCGCAGAACATCAAATCTCACTGCAAAATACCTTCCACCTTCGCTTCGACCCAAAAGCAACAGAGAGAAACAGTTGAGTTCCTGAAGTAAAAAAGATAATCCTATTAATTCTCTCCGTAGAGAATTTCATACTTTTGGTTATGCCAGTTTCGCTGTGCTGTGTTGTAATAGCGCTGACCATATTTACATTTGTGCATTTGGCAGCTAGACGCTTTTATCTAAAGTGACTTACAAAGGTTTCAATGCACACATTTGATCAGTTCATGCAAACGTATGACAGAAATACTTGCATATTTGCCCAATTATGTCTCATCTACCACGTTTCCTTTTCTCTGATGATTCGAGAGATTATCATTAACAGAAAAATGTGGGGGGGTTTGTTTTCTAAAGTATCACATGGAACTAGTTAAATCCAGGAATATGCCTGACACGGAGACAGATGAGACTGAGGTCTGTCATAAATCACCATCAGAAACAGACTAAATCATCTGCAACCACCGACGTCCTCACCACAAAAATGCACCACGGTACATGGTGTACAAATCCCAACCTGCTCATGTAAGGTAAGCAGTCAACAACAACCTCAACCACAACCATGTTCATGAAGCCTCCTATGCTAATATTGCGAAATATTATTCAAATTTAAAAGAACCATTTTCTATATGAATATATTTTATGTAATGTGATCAAAGCTGAATTTTCAGCATCATTATTCTTCAGTCACATGACACAAAAACATTTCTGATTATTAATGTTGAAAACCATTTTTTGCTGCTTCATATTTTCTAAGGATTCTTTGATGGTCAGAAAGTTCAAAACAACAGCATTCATTTGAAATAGAATTTTTTTGTCTTTAACTTTTGATCAGTTTATTGCATCCTTGAATTCATTTCTTCTTACTGACCCCGAACTTTTGACAGTGGAGTATAGATTCATACACATTTAAAAAAAAAAAAAAGCAAACCTGTGAATATCAATGATTTGAACATGATTTTTATGCTGCAACACATTCTGACACAGTCACCCAACGACCAATGAGAACCTCTGAGAGGCGGGTCCAAGTGTGTTTTCAGGAATCCAATGAGCTGTATTGATTTCAAACGGATCCGCCTCCAGGTTTAAACACAGAACGCAACACTGAGATGATTTCCAGCCGCAGAACAGCCATGTTTTCTTTAAAGTCACGTGTGTGAGAGGCATGAAAGCTCAGTGAACTCATTACCACCCAGAGCAACAGATGCATCCCAGAGCTGCATGCAGGATCTGACCGCCCACTGCATTTTAAAGGCTGACACATGGTATTTTACCCATAATGCCATCACCCACTGAGGCCCTTTTTAAGCAGCAATGTGTGGACCATATGGTTAATTAAGAGAGAGCTGGTTCCAATCCACAGTTGAAGAAAAAACAGGCCCTGGTTTCTTTACCTTCCATCTCTGACTCCTTGAGCTCAAACTCCCCAGATAAATCACAACAAAGACTGTGAGTGTGTAGAAAGGGCATCTGGAGGCATATGCATGTGTTCTGCCATTATTTGTGGAATAAGCATGTGACGTGTCGTATCAGATCTCAGCATCATGGCTCTTGAGAGAGGACTGTTTGTTCCTGCTTCATGGCTTTCTTGCGTTTCTTGTGAGAGTCACTAAAAAAAGAGGTCGTAAAGAACAGATTCACCTGTCAGCCTCACTACCTACCAGGGTTAACTAGGTTGAACTATCGCTAAAGCTATGTCAAAACATTTTGGTAACTCTTTAAAGTAAGTTCTCATTTGTTAACATTAGATAATGCATTGGCTATCATGAACTAACAATGAGCAATATATATTATTTTTTACAGGATTTGTTCATCTTTGTTAATGTTAGTAAATAAAATGACAAATTAGAGTAAAACGTGTTTTGGAAAATATATGTTTCACACAAATTTTTTTTTTGCATTTTTCATAACATTAAATCTAACATTTTATAACCTTGTTCAAATCAAATTAAGTACGAGCAACAGTGACTTAAATCAACATCACTAACTACAGTACATTATTCTTCAGGCTAGTAAGTGTAAAGAAACAATGAAAGCATCTGATTGTTCACACGTGAACTCATGAAACTCTGACATGAAAAACTAACGAAAGCCTGATCCCTCTGTGTGACTCCCAGCTTCCCTCAAAGAGACGGAAAGTAAAAAATCCATTATTAAAATATGAATTATTGAGGGCAACATAGTTTCTATAAAGAAACAAAAGCTCTTAATTCCAAGAAGATTCTCAGTCTGGACTCAAAAACAGATGTGTTCTCGACACGCTCCAGACGACAGCGAGGAAGCAGCGGTGAGGAGAGACAAAAAACATTTAAGAAACAGTGTCAAGAAATTCTGCTTTTCTTTCTACAGACCTCTAGCATGATGCTATGGAAGCTTGTTTCCGCCACAGAATGAAAAATAAAAAAGGTAATTGTGACTTTTTATCTCACAATTCTGACTTTTTTCTCACAATTGCGAGTTTAGATCTTGCAATTGCGAGATATAAAGTCAGAATTGCGTGATATAAAGTCGCAATTGCGTGTTATAAAGTCAGAATTGCGAGATATAAAGTCAGAATTGATTGATATAAAGTCGCAATTGTGTGTTATAAAGTCAGAATTGCGAGATATAAAGTCAAAATTGATTGATATAAAGTCGCAATTGCGTGTTATAAAGTCAGAATTGCGAGATATAAAGTCAGAATTGATTGATATAAAGTCGCAATTGTGTGTTATAAAGTCAGAATTGCGAGATATAAAGTCAGAATTGCGTGATATAAAGTCGAGATTGCGTGTTGTAAAGTCAAAATTGTGAGATATAAACTATTCTGAGGGGGAAAAAGTTAGTCTTTTTCCCCCCTTAGAATTGGCCTGGTAACTCGCTATTGCGAGTTTATATCTCACAATTCAGAGAAAAGATGTCAGAATTTCGAGATATAAACTCGCATGTGTTATAAAGTCAGAATTGCGAGATGTAAACTCGCAATTCTGTCTTTTTTTCTTGCAATTGCGACTTTATTTCTCAGAATTGCGACTTTATATCTCGCGATTGCAAATTTATTTCTCACAATTCTGACTTCATATCTCGCAATTGTCGCAATTATTATAAAAAGTCCCAATTATTATTTTTATTCAGTGGCGGAAACAAGCTTCCATATGATGCATCTATCTATCTATCTATCTATCTATCTATCTATCTATCTATCTATCTATCTATCTATCTATCTATCTATCTATCTATCTATCTATCTATCTATCTATCTATCTATCTATCGTTCCATCCATCCATCCATAAAGATCAAACTTTCACAGTTCTTTCAACAAGGCTGTCAAATCAACATTCAAGGTCTAGAACAAATGAGCTTTTCTAGTTTTATAGGTTTAATTTACAGTTATATAATTTTTTTTTAATTCAGTCCATTTGAACTCTTTCATCTTTGCTATGCTTTCCAATTCAAAATCTGGAACTGATTGGAATTTAAAAAGTATTGTCGATTAAAATCTCAATGGCCTACAAGCCATATTGACATAAATACACACAGTTTTCACAGCGCACACCAGTTTTCAACATTAATAAGAAAAGGTTCTTGAGCATCAAATCATCATATTAGAAAGTTTTCTGAAGGATCATGTGACACTGAAGACTGGAGAAATGATGCTGAAAATTCATCTTTACATCACAGGAATAAATTACATTTTAAAATATATTCACATAGAAAACAGTTCTTTTAAATTGTAAGAATATTTCACAATATTTACTTTCTTTTTGATTAAATAAATGCAGCCTTGGTGAGCAGAAGAGACGTCTTTCAAATATACTAAAGAATCCTACCAACCCCAAACTTTTGAACTGTAGTGTACATGCGTGTTGCCAGTTTATGACAGACAGTAGCTGACGTACATCTGGCTGTGTTGCGAGAGTAAGTCCGTAACGTCCCTGATGCCGTTCACGTCCAGACCAGACTCAGATCCAGCGGTCAACTCTGTGCCAAACCATCCACAGCATCTCACTAATGTTGTAATCTCTGCTTTGGTCTTGGCTTCTAGCAAAGAAAAAATACTCTGGAGAATCTCACTTCTAGATCCAGTTTACTTTTCAACACCGAAAACAAGCAGAAAACCATGCTGCAAAAATGCTCATTTATAGCATTTAAGCATGCATAACAAGAAGTTACTTTTCGACATAATCATGGAACGGACAACATGTTAAGCAATAAAAGCTATTTTCAAAGTGAGCTGGCAAGGTTTGTCCATAAGCTTTGTTTCAGGGCATGTGCTGATGAACAACACGGTACCAGCGGACCACAGATGGCCAAAGGGTTTCTACCCCAGTGCAGAGACTTTTCACCCCAAGGTCAGATGTGAGGCGCAGTGTTGGCAGGACATGAAGCGCTTCAGAGACTTCAGAAACAACAGCTGTGGAGCGAGTGTGTTCGCTCATCTGCGTCAGAGGCCCAGCCAGACATTTGAAGTTCCCCAGGCCTGTAAATCCCAGAACATCTCGGCCCGCTGGAACACCGACGTTCATTACAGCTCTTATCGGCTTCCTCTGTAAGTGTAACACACTGACATTTATCTGCTAGAGAAAATCAGACTAAATTTTCACTAAAATTAAATTTTTACTAAAGCTCATCGCAGAATGAGCTACAGGCCAAATACTTCTAGAGTTTAGATTGAGGAATTCACTACGAATGTGGCTGCATCACAATTCGCCTACTATTGCCCTAAAAGTACACTACCGTTCAAAAGTTTGGGGTCGGTACGATTTTAAATACTTTTAAAAGAATTCTCTTCTGCTAACCATGGCTCCGCTTATTTGATTAAAAATACAACAAAAATCAGTTATAGTATTAAATATTATTCCAGT